CGTGGGTCTTCAATGTGACTGGAGGAAAGAGAGTTGATCATCAACCCTCATTCGACCGGTTGGAGTCTAAGAATAAAATGTTCAAACGTGGGGGCTTGCCGTGGGACTGGTCTCTCTGAATGAAAGGGGCGGGTGACCGTGCAAACGCGCAAAGTTGACTATGGGAGTTCACTTCAGAAAGAACAAGAATAGCGGTTTTCTCCACTTGCGTTGCGAAATTCTGGTACAACTCTTGTCAATAATTGGTTTTTCGTTGCTTGAACGCTTTCAGGGCCCATGTCATGTCCCATCCCCTTCCAAATACTCACTTTAAAATTGCAGTAAGGTGCAGATATTGTCACACATCCTATAAACGCAGACAAACCCGCATGCGTAGTTATTGCCAGGGCAGTGTTTGCGCAGCGTGGACACGGCAACCTCCTGCGGGTCTCAGGAGACGCCTTCGCTATCTCGTCCACGCCCTCGCCGTCGGCAGCCCCATACCACCTTCAATCTCACCGATTCCCGCGACTAAATCATGGTTCGATGAGCGGAAATCATCTCACATCACTTTCATCCGTTATTAACAGGGAGTAGGAGGCCTGGGTCGTGTAGTCATTCAGCCGAGGGGACAGAATGAGCTGGCTTTTACACGGCATGCGGCATGCCAGCGCTGGAAGGCAGCGCCGTAGACCGCCACGCCAATGGCGGCTATGTAGGGGCTTTATTTTAGTCTTGGCGTTCTCTGTCGTATCACAAGCACACGTACAAGACCTGTTGCGGAGACGGCCACCACATCCACACCTTTCCTGGCTTTATCGTAAGGTAAGACAGGACAGCTCTACATCAGGTTGCCGCATCCCGTATGAATCTCATATCATGCACCTCGCGTATAAACAGGGCGGCGCGACGAATAATTCGTCCGTACCCAAGTCGGTCCACGAGCCCTTGTTTACTTCCAGTCCTGCGCCATCGCCTCCTGTATCAACCCCCGAGGCAGAGGCGTTCCCCGAGGCCCCTACCCCTGCCCTCCTCACCGATTACCCATCACGACCACGACGAAGCAAAGCCCGTCTCCTGCGTGACGCCGTCTTCCCCATTTACGGACGAGAGGTCCATAAGTTCTTTTCCATGGGTATGATTAAGTTTTTAATAGTTTTTGTGCTCACCATCACCCGAGACGTCAAGGACACGCTCATAGTCACCAGTTGCGGCGCAGAGTCCATTGCATTCCTGAAGGTCTACGGGGTTTTGCCGGCAGCAGCCGCTTTTACTGTGGCCTACTCCAAAATGTCCAACGCGCTGAGCAAGGACGCACTCTACTACGCCTTGGTGGCGCCCTTCTTCCTCTTCTACCTCCTCTTCGACCTGGTCATCTACCCTCGCCGGCACCAGCTCCACCCTACCGCTACCGCCACGTCCTTCCAGGGCCTGAGCTACCTGCTAGGTCTTTATAATAACTGGACCTTTGCTCTCTACTACATCGTCTCGGAGATCTACTCCTCGGTCTCGATCGGACTCCTGTTCTGGCAGTTCGCCAACGACGTGATCACGGTGGACGAGGCCAAGCGCTTTTACCCGCTCTTCGGCCAGCTTTCCTCCGTCGCCCCCATCATCGCCGGTCAGTGCGTGGCCCGCGTGGCGGACGGTGGGGACTTCGGGGGGAGCCTCCGGATCCTGACGGGCCTGACCACCCTGTGCGGGATGGGCATCATGGTCCTGTACCACTACTGCTCCCGCCTTGTCCAGAAGGAGGCCAGCGACGGACTCCTCACGTCCCACATGGTCAAGAACCTGCAGCAGAGCCGGCCTCGGCCCCAGCTATCCCTTCAGGAGAGCGCCTCCTTCCTTCTGGGCTCCCAGTACCTGCGGTACATGGCCGTTCTCGTCCTGGGCTTCGGCCTCGCCATCAACTTCACCGACATCCTCTGGAAATCGATGGTCAAGGACTACTTCCCGGACAAACTCGCCTACCAGCGCTTCATGGGCTTCTACTCCTCCACCGTGGGCGCCACCACCTTCGTAGTCATTTTCTTCGGCAGTAACATCGTCAAGCACCTCGGCTGGCGCATCGGTGCCCTGGCCACCCCCGTGATGATGGCCGCGCTGGCCGTCCCTTTCTTCGCCGCCATCTTCCTCAAGGGCTTCGGGGCCAGCTCCAAGCGCACGGCCCTCTTGGCCGTAGGGGCGGGGGCGCTGATGAGCGTCCTCTCGAAAGCCACCAAATACGCGCTCTTCGATCCCACCACCCAGATGGCCTACATCCCCCTGGACGAGGAGTCCAAGAGCAAGGGCAAGGCAGCCATCGACGTGCTCGGCTCCCGCGTCGGGAAGTCCTTGGGGGCGCTCCTCCTCCAGGCCTGCGTGATGGTATTCGGCTCCGCCCTCCGGGCCTCCTACGTGGTGGGCGGGATGTTCTACGCGGTCATCTTCTCCTGGATCTTCTCCGCCAACAATCTGGCTGGGCTCTTCCAAGAGCTCACGGAGCGACCGCGCAAATACGGGGCAGGCAGTGGCTTGGCGAGCGGCAGCACGGACAGTGGTGGTGGGAAGGGCGGCGCGGGCAGCGACAGCAGTGGCGCCTCCACCGACGGGTCGGGGTCGGGGCCTACGCCTGTCGCGGCCGCTCAGGAGGTCCCTCAGGAGGTGCCTGCCGAGGTACCACCCTCGTCGTCCGCACCCTCGGCGTTCTTAGACGGTGGCCTGAACCCGCACATTGCCCCACCGCCAATAGAGGGGAGGGAGGAAGGGAGCGAGGAAGGGGAGGAAGGCGAAGGCGGGGGGGAGGGCGAGGGTCGCTGTGGGCCGTTGGAGGGTGAAGGGGAGGCAATCGCAATTCCCAGTACTGAATTTATGCAGAGTATAGCCTCGCAGGGAGCTGAGCGAGACATGTCTCTACCAAGGTCGACGGATCCCTCGCCCCCCTCTTTCCACTCCTCAGGTCCTGGCACTGCTCCATCTCAGGATTCCTCCTCCTTTCCTGCGCCGTAGACTCACACGTGAAAATCACTTTACACGAAAGACGGTCATGCGGAGAGAAGAAACAACTTCAAGCCCGGTAAAGCCAAACATCCGCACCCGCTGTCTTGACAGTCGGGTGTTCTTGGGCATAGAAATAGGAGAGTGAGGGCCAATCCGTCGAGAGGAAGTGGTGGCGAAGGGAAGGGTCTAAGGGAGGCGAGAAAAACTCACATAGATCGGTAGATGACAGCAAACATGAAAATTGAATAAACTTTGACAGGGGTGCTCATCGTGCAGAGCTTATAAGACTCGTGTTTTTTTAAAACAACGCAGGTTTATATCATGTCGTTCGGGCCGTACGTGTACTTTCGCGCCAAAAACTCTTTCTTACGCCCTCTTCCTCCTTGCGCTCCTCGCCTCATTCCTCCTCCTGCATCGGTATCCCGACCGCGTCCTCCTCACGAGCAAACTCCAGCTCGATGCTCCCTCTAGCCGGGTCCACCCGCAAAACATGCACCTCGAACTCCTTTCCCGCCTCCAAATCAAACAGCCGCCGGGAACCGGCCCCATCCTTCCCCTTCTTCTTCCACCCCCCGGGCAGGCGCACGTAGGAACGCAAGCCCGCGTCGGGCAGCATCACCTCCGTGCCCGTCCCCGTGGCCGTGGCTCGGACCACTGCGTAGGCCTGGCCGGCCGCCTTGGCTTTGGCGGCGCAGTAGGTGGCGAAGGACTCGAGGAGGACCTTGCCCCTGGAGGCGGAGCGGAGCTTCTGGGAGGCCTTACTCTGCCAGTTCACCTGAGTCATGCGCCGGATCACTTCCGACTTGGACAAGGGGGGACGGCCTTTCAAGACGGAGACCATCTGCTGCTGCGCCAGCACGTCCGTGTAACGCCGGAGGGGCCCAGTGCCGAAGCGCGCCGCGTCCAGGCCGCCCGAGACCGAGCCCGGGGCCAGGGGGAGGGTGACCGCGTGGGCCTTGAGGAATCGACGGCCCGCCTCCGAGTATAGGGCCAGGAACTCGTCCACCATCAGGTGCGCAGGCGTGCGCTGGAAGCCGATGGCCTCCAGTTCCCCCTCGGTGTTCCGCCGCACTCGCGAGACGCGTTTCCCCTCCGAGAAGCTCCGTTTCGTCAACGCACGTCGGGCCTGGGAGGCTTGCAGCAACACGTGCAGGTCCTGCGCGGCCTGACGCCGGTAGGCAGGCAGGTCCTCGAGGCTGGACGCGGAGAGCAGCTCGTTGGCCTCGTCGTATCGGATGCGGGTGATGGGGGGCACTAGGCTCAGGAGCAAGCGGGCGTTCAGGACGCTGCCGTCCGGGCCCAGCGTCACGGCCGCCGTCACACACTCGTTCACCTCCCGGTCGCTGAGGGAGGCCGCCTGGAGGGCGGGCGGGGGTAGCAAGTGCAACGGCCCGTCAGGCAGGTAGGTCGCCTCCCCGCGTTGCCGCGCCAGGGCCTCCAGCTCCGGGGTGCCCTCCACCAACGCCTGCACGTCCGCGATGTGGATGAGCACCTCCCCCGTCTCGGGATCGAAACCCAGGGCGTCGTCTGCGAATTCCGACCCCGGCGGGTCCAAGGCGTAGGCCCCCAGGCCCGAGGCCCGGTAGTCGTGGCGGCCGTGCGGGCCCCTCCGCCCCGGCCGGTTCGGGCGCTGGACCTTGGCCAGGGCCGCCCGTCGCCTCTGCGTCTTGGCCAACGCCTCCTTCGCCAGCTCCAAGATATCCTCCGGCCAGGGCGTGGCCATCCGCTGGGCCGCCGCCGTCATCGCTGCCACATTGTCCTCCCGCCCCGGCTCCGCGCCCCGCCTCTCGGTCCAATACCCCGCCCGCAGGAGCACCCGCTTGGCCCCTTCGGGCGTGGTCGGCTCTCCAAGTGCCTTCAGGACCTGCTGGGAGGTGCTCGACAGCCCTTCCACCCCCGCCCCCAGGCTGAACACCTCCAGATGGTGCAGTAGTCGCCACTGCGAGGCGTCCCACTGGGCCGAGCCCGCCCGGCCACCCGGCTGCTCCTCCCAGCCTCCTCCCCCTCGCTCCGTCCTCCCCCCCCCCTCCCTCCTCCTCCCCTCCCTCCGTAGTATCCTCCAGCAGCTTGTCCGACCGGAGCAAGGCACGCCTCTCCTCATGGTGACGCACCGCCTGCACGAAGGCCAGCACCTCCCTCGAGTGCACTACTGACTGCTCCATGGGCCGGAACCCCTCCCCCTCCACCAACAACCCCGGCACGCTCTCTTCTCCCACCTTCGACCCTGCCGCCTCAGATCCCGGGCTCAAAACCCGAGGCACGCTGCGTTTGAATCGAAAGGTCTCCGCCGCCAGGAGCACAGCGGCTGCATACCGCTGAGCGGGGCTGACGTTCGGCAGCCCCAGTGTGAAGGCATCTTTCCCCGACCCGTCTAGGGTCTCCGACTCCCGCGTGCGCTCCTGCTGCTCCTCCTTGAGCGCGGCCTCGTACTCGGGCCGGTGGAAGAGGAAGGCCGCCAGGTGGTGGGAGTCGACCGGGGCCTTGTCCCGCCGCCACCGGTGCATGGCCAGCGACCAGAAGCGCTCCAATGAGAGGGCCCGCGGGCTCAGGCTCTTCATCGCCCTCCCTGCCCGCAGCCGCACCACCGCCCACGCCTCCGGCGTCGCTGGACCGCCCTCCTGCTCCTCCAACGCCCAGGACGCAGGCGTCTGCTCCTGCTCGCTCGTGACGGGGGCGGCCCATATCCCCGTGAGCTGCCCTGCGTCCACGGCCACCCTTTCCCCGTGCTCCAGCCGCACGTTGATCGAAGCCTTTTTAAGGCGTCCCTCGTAGTTCCCGAAGGCCAAGTGTCCCTGGTGCCATATCTCCACGGGGCTTTCCGGCTGAAGCTGAACGGGGCTGGGGCCTCGAGGAGGGAGCTTCGGCGCCCGCGGCTTCGCTTTCTTTTTGCCGCCCAAGAGCATGTCCTTGAACTCTAGCATTGCCCAATCCTCTTCTTTGTCCTCGTCTTCGCCTTCACCCTCTCGGACGAGGGCGGAGAAAATTCTCGTTGCGGAGGAGGACGGAGAGCGCGAGGAAGTGGCGGCATGTGCTGGCGGCCGTCCTGCTCTGGACGCGACGTGAGAGCAGGAAAAGAAACCGGGAGGCAAGTTTGACCGCGGGGCGAAAGCGTGTAAAGGATGTGTGAATCCCAATGCGCAGGCAAGGCCGAGCAGCAGCATGGAGCGGGGCGGTATTGTGGTGCTGCATGATGTCGTGCTTGGAATGGTTGTAGTGTCCTCCTTCCCTCTTCTTCTCCGTCTCCGGAACCTGCACTGCCGACATATGCCATTGCTAGCACTGAAAAGATTCATTCAATCGTCGACGCTTCCTAAAAATTTGTTTCGGTGGTCGTGCGGTTAGAAATACGTCGGGTGAAGTAATGTGGCCCAGCCAACCTCATGCGCATGTGGATACTCCCAGAGCCCGGCCAAGACATGGGTTAGAGGGTTGCCGCAAACAGCAAAGACACTTCCGTCACATGACATAAAAAATGGTTCACCAAATGACAAACGTATTCATTCAATGCGGTGCCGTGCCCTGGAGGCCAGTCAATCGAGGTGTTCTCGTACCGCCCATCTAGTGGCTTTTCCCCCCGACGGGAGAGGCCTCGCCCGGGACAAGTGAGCCGGCCGTGCCGGGCGACTACAGAGGGAGGGGTTTTGAAGCCAAATGGCCAAGATGAACCACGGTTGGGAGTGTCGAACGTCCCTGCGTACCACTCGGACGACTGAGGTGAGGCATCGCGGCAGACTGCCCCCCTTTATAGCTCTCAGTGCACGCTGGGCCGGCAAGTTGACCTTTTTCCTTCTTCAAGGCAGACCGGAAGCTTCCGCTTGCTTTTTAATGGCCGGAAGCTCTAGACTCCTGCCGCCAAGGGACAGGCTATACAAAATTTGTAGCCACATCATTGAAGCTCTGCAACAGCGATGTAAATGAGTGCACAGCGCGTGGATCGCGTTTGCCAAAACGGTTTTTGGAAGAGGTTTTGCAGCGGCTTGGCCTTGCCAGCTTAAAGGCCTCGGAGACCCGAGTATGGTCCCGGCTTACCCCAATGGGAACACAAGTAGTCATCAACGCCGCCTTCGCTTACCATTTCCACATTCTTATGCTTTCTTTGAAACCTGACAGGGAGCGCAGTCATGCATACGTCCTTTTCTCAGTCCACGGCGACCGCCGAGGGTTGCAGGCGCGTGCAAGCAGCCAGCATGGGGGGCGGGTCCAGCGGAGACAGTAAGACAGCCGCCGCACGCATTCTCGGCTCAGGCTCTGCCGGTGTTTTTGAATTGGTGAGATGTTATTTAGTCGCTAGCATGCCATGTGGCTGTGATTTGAAATCTTATTTCCGCTTTTAAATTTTCCGCACGTAGGCCTTATTCCACCCATTCGACACCGCGGCGAAGCGTTTGATGAGCTGGGAGGTAAGGACTGTGTCCCGAATCTCGGAGGAAAGAAAAATGTGGTGGTATCCCTTGTATGATAGTTTACGTGGAGCGAACACCCTTTCGAACGAGGAGGGTGCCAGTGGCGCGGGTGCCGCGAGGCCTCTGCCGGCTGCCCAGCCAGCCTTCTTTGGGAAAGGAGAGAGAAGAAGGGTTCTGCGATTCACAAGTGCTCCTCCTCCCTCCCAATCACCCCCGTGACAGGGTCGGATCATCGTGGCCGGGCACACCATGACCAACCTGAACAACGCGGTCTTCCGCAATCAAGCGGCCGCGGCCCCCATAAGCAAGTGGCTCTCTCTCTTCCCCGGCGTCACCTTTGGCGCCGCTTACAAGGTCCTCCAGCGCGCCTATAAATTCGGCGGTCAGCCCTTCGTGCGGGATTTCCTGACGCAGCACTATCAGGAAAACTTCGAGAACGCGGTGGGGAAGAAGAACGGGAAGACTATGATCTACGCCACTGCCGGCTCCATCATGGGGGTGGGGGAGATCGTTCTGCTGCCTTTGGACGTGCTCAAGATCAAGGCGCAGACGAATCCGGAGGCTTTCAAGGGGCGTGGCCTTTTCAAGATCTTCGCGGAGGAGGGCTGGGGCCTGTACCGAGGAGCGACCTGGACAGCGGCTCGGAACGCTCCGGGTAGCTTTGCGCTTTTTGGAGGCTCGGCCGCGATGAAAGACTACGTCTTCAAGCTCGAAAAGTACAGCGACGCCACGTTCTTCCAGGACTCTATGGCTTCGATAGCGGGGGCTGTTGCGTCCATTAGCGTGGCGCAGCCGCTGGTAAGAAAGGAGGGGGAGAGAAAGCAGGGAGGAAGGCGGGGGAGAAAGGGGAGAAGGAGTGTCCTTTGCGTGGGGGAGAAGGAGTGTCCTTCGGGTGGGTGGTACGGAAGCGAGCGGTTTCAGGATTTGGTGGCGCCTGTGTGGGCGTTCTCAGCTCCTCGCAACGTATGCTGACCCGTGCTTTCCCTTCTTTTCTCGCACAGGACGTGATCAAGACGCGCATTCAGAAGCGCGATTTCAAGGACAAGACATCGGGGATGAGCATCCTGAGCGACCTGGTGAAAAATGAGGGTTTTGGCGCCTTCTTCAAGGGACTGACGCCCAAACTGATCGTGATCGGGCCCAAGCTGGTCTTCTCTTTCACCATCGCGCAGCAGCTCATGTCCTTCTTCGAACGGCGCTTCTAAAGCCAGGGCGGGAAGGAGGACGCTAGCTACGGAAAGGGGCGAGCGGTCCATTTTGAGCGAGGACTGCCGCTGAGGAGGGAAAAGGCAGGAGGCAAGCGTCGCAGGAGGAGCATCCCATGAAATCCAGGACACACGGGGAATTCCGGGAGCGAGGAGAGGGCGTGTTTCAAGCCTTGCGTGTCCGGTGGGCGAAGAAAGAGGGGGACTGGATTGTTTTTGTAGGCGCCGGAGCGGAAAGGGCAAGGGAGGGATGTATGTGGGGGGGACTGTCCGGATCCACCCCGCAGACATACCACACCAACAATTTTTGCATGTGTTAATCTTATGGCATAAACGACAAAGAACACGCTATAGCGAGAGAATAGGCAGGCCACTGGCTGAGCTGGATGTTTTTTTGTGTGGCCGAGGTGGACGGAGCACTTCAGAGAAGCAAGTGAAAGGGGAAAAGACCGCCCTGAATGCCTCCTCCAGGCCTCAGAAGACATCTGCTTTAACGGAAAGTAATGTTCATTCTTTATTGACCCCTGCTGCAATGATTTTGTACGAGACGACAACAGGCGAATTCGGATTTCAAAATTTTAAACCAAGCACTGAGCGGCCGATCACTCTCGTTCCCCTTCCCTCTTCACTGTCAGCATTCTCAGGATACTATTGCATGAATCGTACAACCTCATCCGCTGTACAGAGACGAATAAAAACATTGGGAGGGAAAGAAGAATCTACAGAAACTTGCGCAGTCAAAGTTCGAAAATCTACAATCCAAATGTATCCCTCCCCCTTCCTCCCCCCTTCCATTTCGCACCCTGCTAAGCTAAGGAAGTGAACCCAAATACCGTTACACGACTCGATGAATCCGTGCGCAACGCCGTGGCCTTACGGCTCTGGCGCATAAGCGCTGTCGCCTTGGAAGGGCCCCCGTGCGCCACTCCCGGCCTCAGCCGTTGCTCGTCTTCCGTTCTCGATCCTCCGGTACCGCGTCACAGGCTGACGCTACCTTGCCTTCCACCTTCCTAACGTGCCATTCCACAACCTCTCACATTTCTGATGCCCTCCGCTGTGCACCCACCGGGGTCCGGCTCACTCGACCCGCCGCGGCCCCACCCCGGTTGCCTCCTCCGGGCCCATGTCCTCGTCTGTCTGTCCTTCTTTTTCCTCCTCGCGCTCCGTCGCCACGGACTCACCGGTACAGAGGGGAGGAGCGGACGAAAAGGAAGAAGGGATGGAGGCAGGGAGGAGGGTGCAGGAGGAGGAGGCCGAACGCGGGCGGGCGGAGGCTCCCTGCGGAGGCTGTCTGGGGTCATTCGAAGACAGCTGTCCAAGAGAGAGAGGAGGCGCGCCCCCATGAGCGAAAGACGCCGGCTCGGTAGTCTTCAGGCCTTCCCCCCTTCCGAAAGCACTATGAGACGCGCCTGGCGGCCTCGGATCCTGCCCGCGCCCTCCGTATGGGCCCTCCTGTCCCGTCGCCCCGAACCCTCCTCGCTGCCCGTCGTCATACCGCCAAACCCGCTCCTGCTGTCCTGGCTCCTCCCGCCCCGCACCCTCGCGGCCTGATGCCACGCCCGGCCTCGGGCCCGCTAGTGCCCCGCGCGCCCCTGGCGTCGTCTCCCCCTCGTCCGCCTCCCCCCACTTGTCGCCCCCCGAGCGCTCAAATCTCGGCCTCTGCTCCCTGTCCCCGCCCGCCACCAGCATCGCCTCGCGCCTCGCCTTAAGCTTGACCAGCACTTTCCCGACCTCCCTTCGAAGGGCGGCCTCCTCGGCCCGGGGAAGCACCTGTTGGGGCGGAGCCGGCGTCGGCGCCTGGAGAGGGTAGGGTGCATACGCTGGGTACGGATCCGGTAGCCCTAGCCCTGACCTCATCTGTCCGTGCTGGGCGAGACCATAGTGCGCGTAGGCCAGGCTGACGTCGTGCGGCCCCCCGCCCCTTGAGAAGGCGGTGTAGGTGCCCGGGGATGGCACTTCCTGCCCGCGGGGGTGCCGATGGTGGGCCCCGGTGGGTAAGGAGGGGACGCCATGGAGCCGTCTAACCGATCCCGCGCCGTCCCCTGAAGGCTCCTCCGACCCGAGAAGCATGCCCGACCCCTCTGAATCCAGAGCCATGCCCCCCGCGTGCGTCATCCCCGCCATCCCGCGCGCCTTGGCAAGTTTGGCGAAGTACTTCTGGGCGTGCGACCGGATCTGAGCGCTGCTCCGTGTCTTGATGTCTGCCGCCACCCGCTTCCACTCCCGCCCGTACACCCGAAGTCCTCGCAGGAATGCCTCGTGCTCCTCGGCCGTCCATCTACCCCGCACGCTCTCCCTCCTTCTCTTCACACCCACCGTCCCTGCAGGGGGCATGGGCCACATCCCCGACTCGGTGCGTGCCCCACCTGGACCATCGCCGTACTCGCTCGCCGCGTCCGACGACAAGGGCCTGGAGGTATTGCTTTCATGCTCTGGGAGGTGCGTTGATAAAGGGTAGTTCGGAGGATGCGCGGTCTCGTTCGCACCCTGCGGGGACTGAGAGGGAGGCCTCTGGTGCGACCCGGCAGAGCCAGCGGACACCGCCAAGGTGGACGGCTGCGAATAGTGCCCAGGCACCGAGGGAGAAAGTTCACAAGACGTGGCATCCGAAGTAGATGCTGCGGGTGTATATTGAAATGAATGCTGGTTTGAGCGAGAAGTCGGGCCAGCTGCGGGGGCGGCGTGCGCCTCGTGTGTGTCACCA